ATGTCATGCTAACCCCGAAATCCTAAATACTCCATCAGCAACCCCCGCTCCGCCCCGCTGCGCTCCAGACCGCCTGCTCAAAGCAAAGCCTACAGCCTCCACTGTGGCTCCTGTCCGCTCCGCTCTGAGTTCCTTGGAGATCATAGAGAGCATGCGCGAAATGATTAAATTCAAAGTAGCAAAACATGCAGAAATGATCACAGGAAGGGTTTCCGTGGATCATTAAAAATAAATACAATTGATCAATTTTTTAGGATTTTTTCAATCATTGTATAAATTTTTATGGGATTTGTAACAATCAACATATACCGAACTGAACCGAAAACCATGACCACGAAACCGTGAACCGAACTGTGGATTTTGTGAACCGTGCTAATCTAATCTGTATACATGTTAATATAAGAGTTCAAAGCAAAAAAACAAACCCTGAGCACGGATCATTGAAACCCAGATTAACCTTTACTGCCGCAGTGCATCATGAAAATTAGAGACAATTTAAACGTGTAGAACTAAACATTTTTGACATTTCTAATGAGTTTAGCAGAAAACTGAGGAATCATCTTCACATGGCCTTTAAACTTATTTGAACTTTGATTCTGAATCGAATAAAAGCACAAAAAAACATTATGCTATGTCAGATGCTTTACTTTAAGCATATTTTTTCCGTCACACCGTGCGCCGCTATCACTTACATTAAGCAGTGTCCCTGGTTAGGGTTTCCAATTCCTGCTGATAGAATGTGTTTATCACGGTTTTATCACTGTGTTTTTATGCTAAATGTGACCTTTATGCCAGCTGATGTAATTTCACCTTGTACGTAAACTTCTATCTATATATTGCACTAGTCAAGGTAACAATCTCCGTTTAATTCTGATCTACGTAAAGAAAAAAACACGTTTTTCTAAATACAGCAAAATAAATTCAGGTCGGTTCCACTGAAATGCACCTTGTTTACTTTCTCCGGGTTGCTTCCTACCACGATCGAACAGCCACAGGTCTGTAGATGAGAGCTGATGGCTCTGAAACACAGAGACAAACGCAGGAAAATTAGATCCAATTAGGTTCTAATGCGCTCGGCTGGTTGAATGAAGAGCTGCAGCTTTTTACAATGACAGGCCAGTTTAAATCAGTGTGAGAAAAGGTTGGAAGCAGTTAGGAAAGGAAAAAAAGGCATCTTCAGTTAAAGACTGAAGCCAGAGGCCTCAGCTTTGAAGGAACTAATCAGAAAGGCCCAGAAAGCTCCGCCCCCTCCTCCTTTCTCTATGGAGAAGCTCTGCTAGGAGCAGCTCCATCAGTCATCATTGGAAGGGTGACGGGTGTTAAATGGCCATTGTTCGCCATCCGTCTCCGTTGGGATGAGGAGAACTGCTTACTTGTGGAGGAAACCCTCATGGCAGCTGTCCCCGATGTCATCATCATTTAGCAGGGTGTCTTTTATCTTCTCAGCGGGAACCAAACAAGAAAATGACCCAGATCAGATAAAAACAGAAATCATGTGAAAGCAGATTTAAATGTTGAACTATATGATCGTCAAGCTTCCTCCAGATCGAGGCCAGCTAGGAAGTGTCTGCGTGTGGCTCACATCTATGTCCTCAGGAACGCTGTGCGACTTCATGGACGCCAGCAGCTCCATGATGGGAGCGATCTCCAGGCTCAGCACTGAGATGATGTTGTAGCCCTGAAGTCACAGGAAGGAAGAGGAAGTTCTTAAAACAAGGAACAGCAATAAACAAAAAGATCCAGGCTGCAGTCAGGTGGACAAAATTCAACCATAACTTCAGGAAACGAGTCGGAAGGGAAGGAAAGACCCAGAGACAGGATCAGCTGACAGACTGGATCCTCAGTGTTTCAAGATAACTTAGATTAGAGCTGCAGAGCAACGGCAAAGATAAATAAGACTGAAAAATGAAGAGAATGAGAGCCTGGATGGAACCAGATGATCAGGAGATCTGATTATGAAAGATAAGAGTGGTTCTACCAGAGAGGAAGAATGGATGGATGGATGGATGGATGATAAATGAATGGATGATGGATGGATGGATGGATGGATGGATGGATGGATGGATGATAAATGAATGGATGATGGATGGATGGATGGATTGATGGATGGATGATAAATGAATGGATGACGGATGGATGGATGGATGGATGGATGATAAATGGATGGATGATGGATGGATGGATGATAAATGGATGGATGGATGGATGGATGATAAATGGATGGATGATGGATGGATGG